TACACAAATCTAATAACAAGAATCTCAAAAAAAAAAAACAAAAAACTCCATATTCATTTTAGTTTAAACAACCACTGCATCTCCTCACTCCTGCATTTGATAGCACCGCTTCTTTTCTTTTTTTTTTTTTTTTAAGGTTTTTGCATTAGGATGCTTGTGCTCGCCAGAGAGACAGAGAACAGTGAAAGTGAGAAACTACCGCTCAGGGAGGATGGCCACCCTACATTCTCTTCTCTGTACTCCTCTTGGGATCTTGGCACACATGCACACATAAGCACCTGATGTGATTTTCAAGCTACTGGGTCCGGGACGTGAACCGTGGTCAGCTATGTGGGAGTCTAGCAATGTAGCTGCTATGCCATCTGCTGGCCCTGTGTCATTTAATAGTTTGGGGGACCAGCAAGATAGCATGATGATTACATCGCTGGACTCCCACATGGCCAACTGAGGTTCGAATTCCAGACCCAAAGGCTTGAAACTCAGGCCAGGCATGTGTGGGTGCGTGCCTAAAATCCTGAAGGGTGAATGGAGAAGGAATTGCGGTATGGCCATTCCCCTGGGGGGTGATTTCTTGCTATCTTTCTCTCTGGGCGTGCATATGCACCCTATAGCAAAAATCTCTTACTGAAAAAATAAGAATTTTGGTTCTAGGTCAGCAGGTGTGTAGTGGTGTCGGGCTTCCATGTGGCCGACCATGGTTTGAGTCCTGGATGCATGACTTGAAACTCATGCTGGGCATGTGTCCCCAGGATCCCAAGAGGAGAATGGATGAGAAGGGATTGCAGTGTGACCATCCCCTCTGTTGGGTGATTTCTCACTTTCTGTCTCTCTGGTGAGCTCACGTGCCCTATAACAAAAGTCTTTATAAAAAAAAAAAAAAAAGGCAGGTTTTGGATTGTCTGGGTACAAACGTAAGCTCTACCACTTCCTAACTGGCTGTGTGATTATTATGGCATGTTAGTACACCTGTCAGTACCTCCATTTGTTCATTTTTTGTTTACAAGTCAGAGGGTACAGATGCTCACCAGAGGGAGAAAGCATCTCCCAGTGGGCTGTGGTCACATCACAGTCCCTTCTCCATTTCTGCATCCTGTCTGATTGGGGTTGCATATGCACATGTACCTGGCATGTTTTTCTTTTTTCTTTTTTTTCCAAAGATTTTTGCAGAGCCGGCAGGTGTCGTGGTAGTTAAAGGCATTGGATTCCCCGGGCCAACAGGTGGCATGGTGATTAAGGCACTGGATTCCCACATGGCTGACCATGGTTCAAGTCCCGGACCTGGTGGTTTGCTTTCTCTCTTTCTCTCCCTCCCTCTTTTTCTCTGTGTCTGTGTCTCTCTAGAAAAATTTTAAAATAATAAAAATGATAAATAAAATTAAATAAATAAATAAACAAAGCATTGGATTCCCACATGGCCAACCACGGTTGAATC